TCGGTGGTTTGGACCCACCAGCCACTCTGAGGGAGAAAGATGTGGCAGTCTGCTTCTGTAAAAATTTATAGTCTAGAGGCAGTAGAGGGAATAGATAAGCCTCCAAGGATAGGCTGATACAGTGTGGGATAGACAACTAGGTCAAGTTTTTCTTCATGAGGAAAAGGATAAATGGACTAGCCTAGAATCCCAAGCTGACCAGAACTACTGGACAATTCAGATGGAAAGAAATGAGGACCAGATCCTAGAAATTAACCTGTTATAAAGGGTAACTTCGGAAACTCCTGATCTGGGATCTGAGACTTTTTGCAGTGTTTGAAGCCTTCATTTTGTGGTATGAGTCAGAGGAAAAGGGTATCTGCTCAGCTTGATGCTGGTAATATCATCAAGGTTAGCTCTGTTGATCAGTTTATTAAGAGCAGACAAATATATCAGATCATATTATTGTCACGTCATACAACACAACCTTTGTGGTGTGTTGTCCGCAGGAGGAGACTGGCAGTAGCATTTAACTTGGCTATGGCAGCTCCACAGTGAATTCCACAGCCTATGCTTTTGTGAGAATTTCTGGAAAGATGGAGGACCATGCAGATAAAGTCTACACAACTCCAGCTATGTGACACGAAATAGGAACAACTGGGCAAAGCCACAAAAATTACTACACAGAATAATAATTCCATCTTTAAATCAATCAATTTTTTGGCCTTGGAAAAGTAGACTCCTAACAGATTTACATTTAAATGTCTGGGAGGATGTATTAAAAACAGGTAAAGTCTCAATTATGATGCATCCATACTGTGGAATACCAGTTGTGAAAAAGAAGAGGAAGCTCTTTAGGCATGGATACAGAATGATAACGAAGATGCATTTAAAGTAAAAAGAGCAAGATAAGAAATACTGTGCCTGGCACCTACCATTTGTCTACAAAGGAAGCAAAAGGATGCACAGTTACATATTTGTTGTGACCTATTTTTTTACATCTGAAAAGGCAAACAAAAACTGATTATTTGTTGCCATGGGAGGCGGGGGGGTGGGAGGTAGGTAGAGATCTAAGCAGCTAGTAAACGGGATAGGATAAAACTTTTTCCTATAGTAAGTGTTTGAATTTTTATGAATATGAGTATATTAACCTATTTTAAAATGAACTAACTAAAAACAAAAACCTATCTAGAAATTAGTCTAATTTTTACTGACTTTAACAATTCTAAGTCTAAGGTAGATATATAAGATTAGCTAAAAATATGTATTTTTCTTAGGAGTCATGATCTACCAAATGACACAAAATACAAAAGGGCACAATTTGGCAATATCTGTAAAAATGCTGAAGTATTCACCCTTGAACCGAAAAGTTTCGCTTTATTTATCGTGGTAGCGTAGTGGTTACGAATTGGGCCGTGAACCTCAAGGTCAGCAGTTCAAAACTACCAGCTCAACTTCCACAGGAGAAAGATGAGGCTTTCTGCTCCCGTAAAGATGTAGAGCCTCAGAAGCCCTGTACAGGGTCGCTATGAGTCGGAACTGACTCCACAGCACATAACAACAACAACAATATTCACATATGGTCGCTGTGAGTTGGAACCAACTCCAAGGTACACCACCACCACCACCACCCACATCTGGGGAAAAATCTCCAGTTGTCATGGAGTTCGCTCTGACTCATGGTAACTCCATATGTGTCAAAGTAGACCTGTGCTCTAAAGGGCTTTCAATGGCTGGTTTTCAGAAGTAAAATCGGTAGGCCTTTCTTCCAAGGTACTTCTGGGGGAGCTTAATCCTGTAACCTTTCACCACACAAGAAGTATCTTAAAAAGTACTTACTGTGGCACTGTTTGTAATAGCAAAATAATGCAAACAGCCTATGTGTGTAGCAACAGAGGACTAATTAAATAAACTACGGCACATCTACACAATGAAATACCATGTAGCTATAAAAAAGAAGAAATCTCTATGTTCTAATAGGTAAAGATCCCTGGATACATGGCCAAACTTTTAAAAGAGTTCTAGGGCAGTGTAAATAGTATGTTATTTACAATACACTACTTGGGGTGGGATAGGGTGCAGTGGGGGTAATGGATAGATAGTAAGGAAAGAGTGAATGAAAACCGACAGGGTTAGAAGCAAGCCTTCTCAAAGCATATCATTTCAATTAGTTTTAAAATTATGTGAATGTATTACCCAGAGGAAGATACCAGGGTATTTCAAAAAGTATGTGGAAAAATGGAATTAAAAGATAATGGAATTATCCACAAACTTTCTGAAGCCCCCTAGTAAGTGATCAGTAGGTTAAATGAAAATAATTTGAGATGGGAATAAAACTGTCATTTCATTCAAAGCAGTATTTTACAAATTTAATCTTACCTGTATTTCATAATTTCAACTATATCCTCAGCATCTTCTTTGGTTGCATGCTCTCTCAATTCCAACCTTGCTCGTGCCTTTGGAAAAAACACCATTCTTGATTATGATAGATAACAAAACAAAAGATAAATATATTTACCATTGTTTGAACAGCCATTTATTCATTTTATACAAAAATTGACTTTTGCAGGAGGTGGGCAGAGTTGTAATCATAATAATAATTGTCTGAAAACTTGATTATAAAAATGATCAATTATTTAAAATATGGCTTAAAATCAATTTTTTCCACTAATGTATCATTATAAGAATGCTGATTTTACAAAATTTGATTATATAATACATTTGGTTTTTCCTTGCCTTTTACACTCCATGAGAAAAAGGATTCAAAGGACTAGCCTAGAATCCAAAATTGACCAGAGCTACTGGACAATTCATGCAAACCAATTTGTTAAGATGACAAAAGAGAATTAATCCAAAACTTATGAGCAAAAAGCACAAACTTGGACCCAGTTAATTTCAACTAGCAGAGTGCTCTTGATATGCCACAGCTGCAAAAAGATGTTGCTGTTAGAAAAACAGGCAAAAATATATCAATCACTCAAAGTAATTTATACATTCACAGTCCCAGATACTCAACCTTGAGTTCCAGAATCTTTAGTTAACCCAGCTACTCTTCAAACACTCTAGGAGTCTCATTTTTAAAAATAAAATTAAGGTACACGGCAAGTAACTGGTCTCATTCCTAGAAAGAACTTTGACCAATATGTTACTGAAATGACTGACACTTTTAAGAAACTATTTTCTAAGACAAAAGCAAAACAAGCTATTGTCCATTTCTTTTTATGTCTCCTGGAAGGAAAAAGAGTCCTAGTGGCATAATGTTTAAGCACTCAGCTACTAACAGAAAAGGTGATAGTCTGAACCCACCAGCAGCTCCACAGGAGAAAAGACCTAGTGATCTGCTCTTGTAAAAATTGTTGTTGTCGTTAAGTGCCATCAAATTGGTTCCAACTCAGTGACCCTGTATAGGGTTTCCGAGGAGTGGCTTGGAATGAGTTTGAACCATAGACCTAGCAGTCCAGTGTTTATCCTATAGCGCCACCCCAGGACTCCACAGCCTGGGAAATGCTATGAGGCAGTTCTACTCCGTCATGTATGATCCCAATGGGTCAGATAGACTTGACAGCACACACAACTTAGGAAGAAAAGAAAAAAAGTATGCAATTATGCAATAGATAGTTCAAAAGAGAAATCATACTGCCCCTTCCACCACCTCCACCACTACCTTTGTTTAAGTCCAAAAAAAGCATAAACTTAAACAAACCTCTGTTAGACGAATCAGAGATTCCAGCTGCCTGGTAGTTATTGGTGAGCTATTTAGCCGCTGGCTCTGTTTCCGGAGTTCTAGATAAAACTCCTGAAGAACTTGAGCAGCATCTGTAGACAACCTTGGATAGACATACTGGCGGGCGTAACCAATGTATTTTCTCAATAGCTGGTGGGGAATGGGATCTATTGTTTCCCCAGGGACCACCTAAAGCAAGATAAAAATGCCCAAGATTATACATAGCATATAAAGAATTTCTGCTAAAGGGAATACATACATACATATATATATCACGTTCTAAAAGAGTTACCAAATAAACTAGACATAATTTCACTTCAGTCTGTATTTCAAATGAAGCTTACATAAATCCTAGTATTATAACATATAAGGTTATATATATTATATATTTGGAAGATAAAGACGTTTGATACTGTGAATAAGTGCAAACTGCTACAATTTGATGAACTAGAATTTTGCCTATGAATGCAGTGACTCAAAATTCTAACCAGAATGGAAGGATTCTTAATATCAAGGAACAACCTTGTTTCCTCAGAGTACTAGGTTGATAGGAATGAGAAATTTAGCCAGTTGCTATAAAAAATGGGGGGGAGGGGTGCTCCATAAGGGCATGAAGCTTACAAGCTTTCATGAGTATGCACATTTTCAGAATGAGGGGGAGTAAAGTAGAATCCCCGCTGAATAGTTTCCTTCTTTTCCAGATGGATCTGGTAAAAGCAGATGGGGGGGGGGGGGGGGGCAATGGTGATAGGATTTTATGACTCTATTGTGAGTAACTGTTAGCAGGACTAATTTCAATTGTCACAACTGCAATTGTAGAAGATGTATAACTAAAAGGGGAGAGTAGTTAATCTGTTGCCATTGATGATCCCAGAAACATCAAGAAGTAAGAGCACAAGTGGAATGTGAGATGCCTACCTAAAAAGCAGTGACAGCAGAGACAGTGGCAGAGGTGGAGTGGCATGGAAAGACAGAGCAGTTGTGGGCTCTAGGCCCATGGACTGAGAAAGGCTGTGTGACTGGCAGGCAGGAGGCTGGCTGGCAGAATGTAACCTTTGGACATTTAAAGGAATATATCATTTTTATTTTCTAAGCACACATCAAATATTTTTGCCTTGTTCATTTACATAAGAT